TCACAACATTTCACTTGAACTTGATATTTAGCCCAAACCGTGAACTAATTCTGCTCTCAGGCACCTTTCTCTCTCCCCCTTGAAAGGCCATGCTGAAGTCCAGGCTTACTGGCCACTGTTTGAGCTTGTCATTTGGGTATTTTTCATCGAGTGTGCCTGACAGAAAGATAACACACTGTCACAGAGTGCCATCCATCTTTGTTTCCAAGTTACTCTTAGAGAATTCAATCTCAAGAGTATGGGGTTAGACACACTGGTGATTAATCAACTCCGTGCTCATGTGGGTGTGAGTGTATGTGTCCAAATCGTTACGGGTCTTTGTCTGTGAGTGATAAATCAATGTCCAACCCAGTACAGAAGACAGAACGCCTTAACCCCTATCAGCCCATACAAGATAAATTCATCTAGAATTGTTTTGCAGACAATACTTTGACAGGGAAGTTATGCTATCTTACTCAGTTGGAGCATTAGGATGACGGTAAACCTGCAGGGTTATCGAGCAGAGGGAGTGGAAAGGGGCTATCCTCAAGGGAAAGAAAAAAAAAAAGAAAAAAGCTGGCGGCTGACCAGGAGAGAGCGCTGAGACAGGCATGGGAACACGTCTTGTGCCCACATAGACATCAGTTCACAGTTTATGAATAATTCTTTGGACCTCTGGGAGAAATCCTATTCAAAAGTGAATCAACTGTGACACTAAGGTTTTGCTTGGTGAGTGATTGGATTTACGTCTATGAGCAACACAGAGAGGATGGTGTAACCAAGAAAGCTGGGGAGCTATATAAAGAATGTGAAGTCATACATAACAAAAGTATCACTGCAGGAGATTCTGGTGCACACAAGGGATAAAAGATGGAGATTAATGATGTAACATGCTTTCATTATACCATAGTAGTTATAATCAAATTATTCTCAAATGAATTACATTTCCAATTAATCTAAATCTATCTAGAAATTAATCTATCATTCTAGTCATGTTTTCTCCATTTAGCCTTTGCTGTTGATTTTTGACTACTATCATTGTCCTTTAATTTACTTAAATGGTTTAAAGTATTGCGTTCTGAAAATTGTGGCCTATGAAACAGTTTCTAAAAATAAAGCAAAACATTACATGAAAGAGCAAATGTATGCTAAATCACAACCATAGCTTTGGTCTGACAGAAAACACTCCAACACTATCACTGGTTCTCAATACTATAAAGTGAAGGAAGTAGGAAATTATTTTAATCTTAAGTTGATTGATCTTATTGATCGAGTAATGAAGAACGAAATAAAAGTAGTACATTATTATATTTGAACTTGTTGCCCATTGTATTAAATACTAACTGTATAAAATACAACATCAACAAAAACATGTTTGTTTTTTTATCCATTACTAAACAAGACATATTTAGAAAATAAAAAAACAGGTTAATATGTTAAAAAAGCTGATATATGTGAAACACTGTCTTGATTACCACTGTACAGAGATGTAAAATTACCACTAAAAGACAGGATGTCGCTCTGACCTGCTGTCAGACATTTTTCACTTTGTTTTAATGAAGTTGAGAGAAAATGTGATTAACTCTGTTTTTAGCATAATCCAGCAGGGAGATTTCTGTTGCTAAATAGACGCTATCTAGGTGATAACTTAAGGAGTTCTTGGGGTGTTTACATTTACAAACAAAACCACAATATAATGCCAGACTGGACTCTGAATCGATTCATGTTTCTTCTTCGTCATGCCTCTACTATGGCATTATTTCTGTAAGTAATACCAGTTAGCCTCTGCCTTGATTAGTTGCTTCTTCTTGTGGATGCCTGTAACATTACAACACTGAACGAAATTCTCTCAAAGCCGAAATAATTTAATAACCAAAAGGACCAAATTAGAGTCTTATTCATTTTTTTATTTAGATTTTTTTTTTTAACCTTTATGGGGTTTTTTTTGTGTTTTTTTTGTTTTTTTGAATACTCATGATACGATTATAACTCTATTAATGAGATCAATGATATGTAAATACGATCAAGTAAAATGATACGACTGGCATAAAATCAAATACAAACAGCATAAAAATAAAACAACAACCGGTCCCATCTAGGCGTAATCGGAGAAAATGACAGACGAAGTGTGCTCCTGATGTCCAGTCTGCAGTCTGCTCCATAGCTTTGTTTTGGTCGCTGTAACCGCAGAAAATCCCGCTTCACAAAGATAGGATGTTCTAGATAGAATGAGTCTTGAACTGAATTAACCTAGAGGCACAGATGCACCGATTGATCTAATTGGGAGAGAACACCGCAATTTTTTATATTTTTCAAA